TGCCTGCTTCTGCCTCCGAAGTGTTGGGGTTAAAGTTGTGTGCACCACACCCAGCCCAAAGAGTAGTCCTTGCCTTGCTATCCAGTTTTCGATGCTGAAACTGTAAGTTAATTCAGCTTTCAGCTGGATTGGAATAACTCTAGTCGTTATGGAGTGTAAACTGGAAACTGAGACCAGGGGCAGTAGTCTCCCCTAGGCACATTGTAGTACTATGTTTTGCCAAAATGGTGCCTCACCAGGACACCTTTCACTGGCGTTTAAGTGCTTCAAAGAAACAGCAAATGACACATCTCACAGCAGTATAGCAGTGGCTTTCAGAGGCAGTATTTTAGATATGGGGTGGGTGATGTTAATTGATTACCAGGACTGTATGCTGCACTGGTCTAGTCTGTCACCCAGTGGGCTTTCAATCAGAGCAGCTGCAGCATAGGTACGATGCAGCACACTGTTTAGAAAGGTCCCAGCACTCGTTCCTTACCCAAGACCCCTCATTAGCTGTATTTAGGACACTTCTCCTGCCTTTCTGCCTTTCAGAGAACAGTGGATAGAGTTTTTTTACTGCCAAAGGCTGATGGGCTCACACTTTTGTGCCTGTCTCTGGGGTGGCTTGGGAGGGTGACGGTAGATTGCTTACTTGCAGATCTGCCTGCTTGTCTGTCAGTCCCTCGAGAACCAGTACATTATTAACATAAGGTTCTAGGCAGCAAACAGGGTAGCACAGAAAGCCATTTTCACAGTGGGACTCATTTTAATACCTACAGTGTTTTCTAAACTGTTATGTAAGAAGACCAAGTAGAGAAGTCATGGTGAGTTTCTGACTGTGATACACTAGTTAAAATTCACCAGAGGGAGTTAATTTTGAAAGCTCTCAGCCAGTGGCTAATGCAGAGGTCTCTTAGGCTGATATGCAGCCCAGCCCCTCTCTTCTGCTCTTCCTGCTACAGACTGGGGTCACATTCAGCACACAGATGGCTTTGGAGGGAGCCATGTGTGCATGTGATCTAGAGGTTTAGGCACATCCGGCCCTCTGTAGGACTTACCTCTGTCCCATTACTCTTAGGACTGCTGCCCAATTGGATGTTCACATTATTATTATTAATATTTTTATTATTTAGTTGCGGGGGTTATGAATTTTATGTAAAAGACAAGGTTGGAAGTAGCTGAGATAAGAATAAACACTGAGGATACCCTTTACTTGCCCATTTTATAGATAATTTTTTGAATACTGAAAGGGGCAACAACCATCTCTGATCTGTACCTTGCTTTTAATGTCTGCACCCCATCCCAGTCTCTAAGCTTCCTGTTTATGTATGTCACCTTTGACCCTCCCAGCATGAATCAAGGGTTTGGTACCATTGGATACCATATACTTTCCTCATATCTACACTGGAAGTCCTGCCTCCTAAGGAGGCTGCAATGATTGAGGAAGGTCCTGCCCAGTACAGTACAGTAGTGCCTATGCAAGGGAGTATGCATCCGCTTTATTGCTATGCCAGGCAGCACCTCACCACCCTCTTCATGCCAGCACACACATAGAACTTTGAATATTTTTGTTGATCAGTAGGACTGATGGTGACCTTCCTGTCCAGGTCCAGCTAGCTGTCTCTCAAGGTGGACAGGACAGGAGAGCACGCTGGCTGGCTTGTAGGCAGTTCATGCCCTCACAGCTCACAGGCAGGTGTGCCCAAGCACACGAGGAACCTCTGCAACATGAACTGTAGGGGGAGATGAATGTTCCTGCATTTCAGCCTTCTTGTTCTTATTTCTGTGAGGATCTCCATTTAAAGAACGGCTGTGACTAAACTGCCCTATCAGAATTCTCCGTGAAACACGAGTAGACAGTGTTAGGACCTTGGAGTTCTCTCTCAACCCCTTTCTAGAGAAGTTGTAGATAGCCCTGGGTAGATGGGTATAGAAAATAGATGTCTAAATCAAACATATACTGATATATAAAGAAATTTATCTGAAAGTGATATTTGATAGGCATCTAATTTTACTGTTTATTAGCAGTGAAAACATATTTGCATATTAGAGATGTGGGTGTGCTTGTTTGACATACAAGAAATCTTAGTTGAATAATTATGCAGGATGTTGAGTATCTTTGGGGTTTTTCAGAATTGTTCAATGTTTAGATTTTATAATATCAATGTTGAGGACACAGCTTCACATAAAAATGTGGCACAAAATGGTAGAAGTATGATTAAGGCCTTTTCAGAAATGGCTGGAAATTCTGTCTTAATCCCAAGCCAGGATTTGACAATTTTTAATGAAACTCAAAAGCAAGCTTTATTAAAAAGTTTTTCTTATACATTGTTTGTGTATGTCAGTACATTTATGTTGGGACATGTACATGTCATAGAGCTCATGTGACAAGCAGAGGGCAGCTTGCAGGAGTTCTCTCCTTCCACCATGAGGGTCCTAGGGATGGAACTCAGGTTGTCAGGCTTAGCCACAAGCCCCTTGACATGTCAAGCCACTTTGCCAGCCCTCAAAATGTGAAATTTTAAAGATTTGGTTTTATTTTTATTTGTGTATGTACATGTTTCCACATGTGTCTCTGAGTGAATACTATAGACGAAGTTTCTGTCCTACCTGGTCCCACAGCCTTTCAGTCCCAAGGAAACACACAGAGTCTTATATCAATTACAAACTGTTAGGTCTATGGCTCAGGCTTCTTGCTAGCTAGCTCTTTCATCTTAAATTAACCCATTTCCATTAATCTATGTGTTGCCACGTGGCTGTGGCATTACTGTCTGCTGGCATCTTGTTGCAGGCTGTCTTCTGCGTCTGCTCTGGCTCCATCCTTTTCTCCCTGGAGTCTCTTGAATTTCCCACCTGACTCTTTTCGTTGTTGTTGTTGTTTTCGAGACAGGGTTTCTCTGTGTAGTTTTGGCACCTGTCCTGGATCTTACTCTGTAGATCAGGCTGGCCAGGAACTCACAGAGATCCGCCTGCCTCTGCCTCCTGAGTGCTGGGATTAAAGGGGTGCACCACCACCACCACCACCCGGCTCCGTCTGACTCTTATACTGACTGCCTTAGTATAGACCAGAACAGCTTTATTAACCAGTACTAGCAACACATATTCACAGCGTACAGAAAGACCATCTCACAGCAGAATGCCTCATAGGTACCTGTGGAGGCCAGAAGACCATGTCGAATCCCCTTTTATTTGTGTGTGCATATTTGGACATGTGTCTGTATGTGAACATATGTAAAGGTATCTGTGGAAGCCGGCAGAGCATGTCAGATCCCCTAGAGCTGGGTTACTGGTGGTTGTGAGCTCCTGGGTGTGGGTGCTGGGAACTAAACTTGGGTCTTCTGGAAGAGCAGCAAAAGCTCTTAACCTTAAAACTATAATTTTTTTTTTATAAAGCATTCTTAACATTATGTAATTCAAGGATAGGCTAATTTGATACTTAAACAATGAGGAAAATATTAAGGCTTTGTTTTCCATAATTAACCCTTTGTTTCTGTAAGAGTGGAAAACTTCAGAAGTACAGTAACAACACTGCCCTTCATCTCAAATCTGAACCGAGGTGTTTGATGCAGCATTCAGTAGCACTGCATGGTATGATGGCATGCACAGTGCACATAGTGTGTGCTCAGCAGTCTGCGGTGAAGGCTGCACACTGCAGCCTGGGTAAGTGCTGATAGAAGCTTCACTGTGTGTTGAGTTGTTCATTCACTTCTGACTGCAGTATGTTCAGAAACCTTTTACTGATGGCCAGATTCTTCACATGGAGTTTTAACTTCATGGCCTCATGCACTCTCCACTCCACTCTACACATGCACGTATGCAGGGGGAGGCGTGGATGGGGATGCATGGGACAGAGCCCCAACTTTAATGGTACTGGATACTGTTTGTTTGTTTGTTTGCTTGCTTGCTTGCTTGGTTACTTGCTTTTCAAGACAGGGTTTCTCTGTGTAGCACTGGCTGTCCTGGATCTCACTCTGTAGACCAGGCTGGCCTTGAACTCACAGAGATCTACCTGGCTCTGCCTCCCAAGTGCTAGGATTAAAGGCGTGCAACGCCGCCACCCAGCAGTACTGGATACTTTCTAAAAATTTTTTTTAGAATTATTTTATTTTATGTGAATGAGTGATTTGCCTATATGTATGTAAGTCCACCATGTGTGTGCCTCATGCCCGTGAAGGTCAGAAGAGGGTGTCAGTTCCCCTGGAACTGGAGTTACAGATAGTTGTGAGCCTCCATTTGGGTACTGGGAATCAAACCCTCAGTGGTCTTAACCACTGAGCCAGCTGTCCAGCCCCTATTCACATTTTCTAAATCCGGAAGTTAAGTTTTCCCTGCTAGGAACTTAGGTGACAAGCCTGCATCTAACTCATGAACTAAGTTGGAACATCAAGGATAGTCTCTCTGCCATAGGTTTCTGTTTGGTTTTCTCCCAAGGTGCACACTCAGGTTGCTTGAAGGTACCTGAAAAGTACCAAAGAAACAGTGTCAGCTTCCCAAGAGCCTCAGCACCCACATTCCAGCAGGGTGAAGGTGAGTCCGGGAGCAGAAAGCCGGGCCACTTAGCACTGGCGTGTGACCCAGCCAGTCCCCAGTTTAAATGACACACCTTCTTTCTCGGTCACCCTTGGCAGCCTAGCATCTAATATCTGCACTGTCTGGGACAGAGAAATAATATACAAGGCCTTGGAAGGAACAGACCATGGCCATGAACTTAATGGTTTAGCACTCCTCTCTGTGAACAAGTCTGTATGGTAATTATTAAATTACTATTGAAAACATGACGGTCTTCATGTGGAAAGAGAAGCGCACAGAGAGAATGGTGTTCACGGCCTTAGAAGCCAGTCTCGCAGACTGATGGCCAGCTACCATGTGCTCTCAGGGCTTGGCTCTGTTTCGATTTTAGAGGCCACTCTGCATTTCTGGTAAACCACAGGTGAAGTCGTCCTCAGAGGCAGATGTTTGGCTGGTTTTGAGGCCTGTGGCTTTTCATAGAGAAATAACAGCACAAGCCACATGAAGTTTTTACTTCCTCTTTTTTTATTTTTTATTTTTTTGAGTGAGGCCAAGGGCACTTTGTACTTGTCATGCATGGACTGCAGTGATAGATCTACATTCACCATCAGATGTCAAGTTCATATTTCTGGAAGTGTAGTTAGTTTGAGACGTCTCATTGGCATTGGGTCATAGATGCAGCCTTAGGATACAGTGAGCATCTTGCAGGAAACTTAGAGCCAGGGCAGCAGGAGGTTCCCTGGGAGTTTGGGTGGGCAGAAAGCCCTCAACTCTGGAAAGACGTTTAGAGGTTAAGACAAGAACTGGGCCAGGTGACAGAGGAAAAGGAGAACTGGTTGTCGGGAAGTGGAGGTCAGGTCTGCTTTCAGAGTTCAAGCTGGACTTTCCTGTGCTGGTCCTTGTTTGTTCGCTGTGGGGGGTGATTTGGGTTTGTTGTTGTTTCCTATGTTTTACTTTTTAATGGAGGGTCTGATAGAGCCAGGCAGCCTCAGACTCCATGTGCAGAAGAATGGCGTTGTAGTCCTTATCCTCCTGCCTCCGTTTCCCACGTGCTGGAATTTTAGACAAACACATGTTGCCTGGCTATGGGCCCTTCTCCATTTCTTTCTTTCTTTCTTTCTTTTTTTTTTAAGATTTATTTATTTATTATGTATACAGTGTTCTGCCTACATACATGCTTTCAATTCAGAAGAGGGCACCAGATCTCATTACAGATGGTTGTGAGCCACCATGTAGTTGCTGGGAATTGAACTCAGGACCTCTGGAAGAGCAGCCAGTGCTCTTAACCGCTGAGCCATCTCTCCAGCCCACCCTTCTCCATTTCTTAGTCTAGTTCCAAGATGGACACTCCAGCTCAGCCCCACCTCGTCTCATAGTTGACTCTACTTGTTTTAGAAACTTGGGGACTACCAAGAGCCCAGCACCTTAGGGAGGGAAAGTGGCCTGTGATAGGATTCCTGCCTTTGCAGGGTTTATAGACTGAGTAAATGAAGTCTGGTACAAGTGAGTGAGGCGGTGGGGGCCTGTCATCGGACTTTATTTTTGGAGCAGGAGAGATTTGAGTCTGTATTTGAAATGAATCTTGGCAACAGACTGGCATCCTTAGACATCTACATGGAAACAGAGGGAGGGCCGTGAAGTCAGAGCTCAGGCAGACGAGCACTGTCCTGCAGAGTTTAAAGTTGTTCTTAGACAAGGGCTTTGTAGGCCAGGCTAGCCTTCGAACTCACAGAGATCCACCTGCCTCTGCCTCCTCCTGAGTGCTGGGATTAAAGGCGTGCGCCACCACCACTGTAAAATGAGAGTAATGATAGAACTTCCTTAGGTTGGGGATGGTGTGATAGGTATGTAATAACCACTACTGGTTTGAATGACATTTCTCACATTCGCATTACCCGGATGTTCCAGATCCAGCCCCTTTCCTCTCTTCTGATGAACATCTTGTGTGTTGCTGGGCACTCACCCTACATCTGATACCACAGTCTGGCATTCCACCCCCAGACTATCTCCCACAGCCCATCTCCTCTTCTCAGAGCCTCTCCAACCCTACAAATGCTGCCCCTCCCCTTGGTAACCTGTCCCATGCCCTCCTGCCTTGGTGTGAAGATGTTCTGGACTGCCAGAGGCCACGGTTGTCCATGTGTCTTCTGGGTTCCTTGGTGTACAGGTGAGGTGCTCCTTGCTTCTTTATGCTTGGTCAGGTCGTACCCCAGAGTATTCTGGACTAACTGTACAGGCACTGCCTTACCTGCTTTTAAAAGCGAGTCACAGTTTAGCACATGGCCTGGCAGGGTTTTTCAGAGTCCCTCCCAGTGCTAAGTGTTCAGTAAATTATTAAAGTAAGTCCATAGCCTCACCCTCTACCAGTGCAATGTGCCAGCCTCTGCTCTGCTGTGTTCCTGGTCCATACTGGGGCCTCCCCAGGGAAAGCTCCTCCTCCAACCTCTGGTCTGCCCTCAGCTCCTGGGAGCTCTGTGCAGCCTGACCCTCACTGGCCTCAGTCTCTTCTGCAGGCAGTCACTTTTTCTGCATACCTTGTCCTTGCAGCTTCCAGAATGTTCCTATGTCGTTCCTGGTCAACTTGAAGTCCAGCTGGAGCCCACCTGACAGGCTTATGCTTCCTTGTCACTTCCCCTTAGTCCAGCAGAGCAGCTTCCTCCTCGGAGCTCCACCCCACTCTTTGTTCCTCTGCTGCTTTCCTTACAGGCCCAAGAGTCATCCGTACCTATTGGCTTCTCTGGGCTGACTGGAACTCCTTGAGGGCAGAGCTCTTTCTTGTTCTAGTTCTGGTGGAGATGCTGTGTGCAGCTTAGGATGCCTGTTGACTGTATGACTGATGGAGAAGTCAAGTACCAGAAGTCGCTCTTCATACCAGAGGAGTGTGTGCTGCTCTCTTATGCCTCACAGACTGTTCCCACTGAACTATATCAATTATATTGAAAATTGACATTGATGAGTCATATCCTAGCAGAGGGAGAAATCGGAACTTGCAGAGCCTGCAGGACTAGAGTAGGAGGTTGCAGATGGGTCTTGCAGGCCAGGTCTGGCCCTTCCCTGCATTTGTCCCGCGGGTCTTCAACACCCGGAGTGGGAGGCCCCTCTTCCCAGTGGGCAGGTGATTTATTGGCTCGGGCGCTTCCGTGGTGTTCACTTGTGAAGTGCAGGCTGATACCCGGGCCTGGAAGGGAGCAAACACCTTAGCCGCGGGTCGGAGCGGCCACAGGGGTGGAGACCGGCGTGGGTTTCGCTGCCTCGCATTGGGCGTGCGGCCTGGCCCGCGTGGGGAGTAAGTTTCGCTGCTGTGGTGCCCCGCCCGCGGGGAGGACCCCGAGAAGGCTGCGGAGGGGGCTCGGCCGCCTGCGGGGCCGAGCGGGGCGGAGCCGAG